ATGACAGTAGCTTCTGTTTTCTGGGACTTTTTTACTGCAGTCTTGGTCTGTCTATGGAACTCTGCAGCCCTAAAAGGCTGGAGTCAGGAGTCAAGGAACGAAACAGCAACACTAACAACGTATGTAAAAGACTCAGAAACACCACATGTGACGGATGACATGAAGATCAACAAGGGTTTTATCATCATTCAAATAAAACATGACAGTAAAACCCAGTTATGTGGGTAACTTTTTAATTAAAAGTAAGACAATATTGAAATATAAGAAATAACATGAAAGCAAGGATTTTAAAAGGGGGGTGATTCTGAAAGCAGCTCCCATTTAGACACAGGCAGTGATCAGGGCAGCCACAGCCTCAGAAAGCCCAGAGAAAAGGGATCCATTGCTGCATCTCATTAGAAAACTGACCTCAATGCATTACTGGTACAAAACAAAAAAACCTCTCAAAACATTTACATGTTTAATTATTTATTTCATAAATGCTTTTGTTAAAAATGGCCAACAAGTGAGGCAGATCACAAGTAATACCAAGCACACTGAATGCTAAGTGTTTCTCACTGCAGAGACCATTAAAGAAAAGGCAAACATACTTTGTATATATATATATATATATATATATATACAGTGGATCCTAAAAAAAGCACTGTGTCTAAAAGCTGCTTTATGAACAGCACTGCAAGGGCAAGCAGCCCCCCAAAGCTGAAGGTGGTGATTGCAGTGAGGGGATGAAATGCTGCTTGGGTCTCCCGTCACGTCCTGTGTCTGGCACAGTGACACGGGGCCTCAAAGGGCCTGCTGTGCAGGAACACGCCGCGTATGCGCAGTCAGCGCAGAGCAGCTGGGGTCAAAGGCTAAATGCTTAAGCAATTATTACAAACCAGGAAGAATCTCTCTCTCTCCGCATAAGCGGTTCATTCAAGGTCCGTCTATGTGCCTGGGTTTCTTTAAGGCTGCATTAAATATTCTGACCCCTAGGGACTTACGGAAGAGGCTCTCAGAAGCCCCATCTATTATACATGAGACAAAGCTCAGGATGTTTTAAACTCTGTTATTCACACAGCTTTTAACATGGCCAGCTGGCATCTCTGTAAATGTGAAGAAGCATCACATAACCCCCAGTACACACTGCTGCCAGCCAGCGGTTGACACAGCACCTACGCATAAATCCGGATGTATCAGGATATTACGATGCAGAGCCTTGTGCACACGACGCCCATAGAGAATGCCAGTTATCTGGGGTCACCGTGTGCAGGAATGTCTGTGTGCCCTTCACAAGCTGGTGGTCTCCTGGCGCTTTGTCACAGTGACGATGTGAGCCGCAGCCTGAGGAGTGCTGATAAAGCCTGTGGCTGATCGGCGGCACTCAGGGACAGCAGCTGGGGCTCATACCCGTCACGCTGCTCAGTGCCCCTCGCCCAGACTCTCCTAGGAGACGCACGCGGGGGACCTACACAACCTACTCAAGCTATGCAACTGTGTTCCACTTACATTCACCATTTAAAAAAAAAACTATGATACAACAGCACAGAACATGAGGGCAGCAAAAAATAATCTTCCAACTGCTTATCTAATACAAGATCATGGCTGTAAATAATCAATCCATCCATTCTGTAGTCCACTTACCCTGGACAGGGTTGCAGTGCAAACTGACAGAATTACTTTCACCTAGGGCTGGGCGATATCATATCGATATTGCATCACGCATGTGCAATAATCACCAGAGCTTCAGATGACAGACGCAACATTTGGCCGGGCGCCAGCTTTTTGGTGCTATACGGATGTTTATTTAACCCTAAACGATTTTAATCGTAGCAATATAGACAGCAGGTAGACTCAGGCAAAGCATTACATCTTTAGATTACCTTTGTCCTTCTAAATGCATATGAGAAACTTCAAACAAGGTCACCACAAAACTCCAACAAATCACTATACAAAGTCGGCTGTGGATTTGTTAAACAAATTCTGACAGCTTTGTTCCCTATGCAAACACGATCCCGCTGCCCTTCCAGTTTGTCCATTTTCCCACACACTAAGTGAACTCTGCAATCCTCCTTCATACACATTTTAGCGTCTTTCCAGTATCTCCTGCTTCTCTGGCATTCTTAATGTCGGCTTAAAGCCCATGTCACGATCCTGAATGTCCACAGCACCACGACTGAAAGACCGGCTGGTGAGACGACCATTCAAGGGCCTTTCTGAGGAACTATAGTTACCACAACAAAAGAAGCGTTCTTAACGTGTCAGTGCTTAGGTCAGGCCTGTACTCCAAATTCCACATGACGCTTCTGCAAAGTCCACCTTATCCGATATAAGGGTAAAGGGGCAAAACATTTTATATCCAGTAGTTTACCTGCAGAGACTATGCAAATTCCAACCCCCCCCCCCCCCACACACACACACACACTCTCCTTTTGTAATTACATGTACAGCAAATGGATGCCTCACCACAAGAACATATTTCTGGGGACAGAACATTGAGCACAAGTTTTCTAAACAGAAATTTACATTAGTGTTAAATTAACAAGCAGTGTTACTTGGTATAGTTTTTTTATATAAAGTGTATTAATTTTTATAATGGATTGATCATGAATTCCATTTTCCTAAACATTAATATAATACTGTCAGAAACACATGTATCAAGTATAGCTTATGTCCTCCATGAGCTGCAGGAAGGTTACTCCATCATGAACTTTGTGTTTACTTCCTTGATATTTATGGTACTCAGGCTGCTCTGCACCCCCCATTCAGAAAGGCAAATATATGACATACGGGCACCTGACTTGGGGAAAACAGGACCGGACCAGACCAGCAGCCCCCCCCCCAGGTTAAAAGAGGCCCGAGGCTGGTCTTCAGTCACAGGGTGAGTACTCAAATGGCTGCGGGGAAAACTCCCACACAACTGTTGCAGGCTTATTGCCAAGTAAGCTGCTTAGCTGAACATTCTTAAGTGTCAGTGTATTCGGCTGAAAAGGAAGAAAGCGACTTACGATAAATGCCACTGGTAGTTGAATAAATAATTAATAGCAATATACAATGAAATGCTTGTGCACAGAGTCCTTCCCTCGCCGCTCACGGGAAAATGCTGTGTCACGGTGCTCACAGGGGTCCCGGCTTTAGGTCATTTTACACACAAACGACATCTCCATAAAGCCGTGGGACGGCTGTCTGCCCGACCCGCCCTACCAAAGAGCTACCCGCCAGGCTGGCTGTCATCATGCCGGGCTCCGCCAAGCTGCTTTTTCACATTCATCTTTAGCTCACGCTTTTTACTGCCCCGTCGAACACAGCTATGTGTCAACAACGATTTACAAGTTAAAAATGAGTAAACGCAAAACCCTTTTTATCACACGCTTAACGAAAATCATTAAATGTAAACAGCTCGCGTGTCTGAGAAACGGCGTGATCTTTAAAACACATCACAGAAAATCATAACGGGCGATATTTTTCGTGCAGACTAGCTTGACTGTACGTAAGAGGCTGAAACCTGCGGTTAGATGGCGCCTCACCTCATCAGGATCTCCAGCGAGCTTTCGTGCTTATCCAGCGGCCTATTCAGGGCATTCTTACGCAGCTTATTCAGCTCTTCCACGGCACGGAGATACTCCGCCTGATCTTCGCCCGCCGCGTAAGTAGCCGTGATAAACTTTGACAAGGGTTTCACCAAGTCTACATCAGACGACTTTTTTAACGGTACAGAAATAAATGTCGCCATTTCGGCCCGCGACACTGCACACAAACAACTGAAGAGGGAAGTAATCTTCGGCCGAATAACAACAGGAGTCACTTCCTGGGTACGGCTAACGGGGGTCACGTGGCAGTGACGCACGAGAAAGCGGAACCATGAACGGCGCGCGATGGGAGTTTGCACATGCGCACGGCGCCCGATTATTTCCATGATTCCATCCCAGTTCCAGTAAACCACGCCCCTAATTTTATGACGTAGGTGTTATGACCAATCGTCTTCATTGGCTAACATTTGAGAACTTGGGACGGTATCTGCGTACGCAGTAGGACGGTGACCATTTCCGTAGTCGCTGTAGAAAGCTGAGAACGCTTAGCAGCCTACTACAGTTTAAAACCGTGGAAAGTTCGGTTTGTGTAATGACATTAAACTCAACGGAAGCTGACACGTACTGATTCTGACCCGGAAAACAATTATTCATATAGTTTAAGTTTTAGGACAGCTGGCTTAGCAGATGGTTTTTATTCTAAATATTTAAGACTATCCATGCACTGAAGCTGGGGTCGTTGTGTTTGGGTTAACTTCCATGCTATAATTAAGCACAATCTAATTGGATAATGTATAGGTTGTGCAATTCTTGAAAATGCACCCTGGAACGCATGATTAAATCGGCACATGGATGGGGATTAATAATCGTACCTGGACTTTTGGGTCATCAATGATAAATTTTGTCAGCTCACAAATCCATCAGTCCACTGGGAAAAGGCCTGGTATGCCAGGTGGCCAGGACAGCCCTGCATGTTACAAGTCCTAGGCAATAAAAATGTGTGACTTGACGAGTTAGGACACTGCTGTGACGAGAAGGTCACTGGTTCAAATCCCAGGGTTGGTAGAGTGATTTCAGCATTGGGCCCCAGAGCAAACCCCCAAATGCACCAGGGAATGTCTGACCCTGCTTTCTCAATTATGCATCACTTTAGATAAGTGCCTGATAAACTGTAATGAAATATCAGTAATGGTGTGTATATTTGAGGTAAGCCGAATAATTCCATGGCCACTACAATGGCGTAGCAACTCTGACTTAACTGTAGGACCTTTATCATGTAACTTACCTTCAACAAGTAATCAAAACAGTGAAAGTCTGAAAGTACTTTGCACATGTAAAGCTACTGCTGGATGGTACATGTGCACAAAACCAAGTCGAGGGGCGGGGCTTTGCTGTAGGGGCGGGGCTCTGCTGTAGGGGCGGGGCATCAGGCACATTCACCTATACTGCAGCAGGTCGTCTGCTCCTCCCACCCAAACAAGCATCACACAGTTTTTTCACTGGCATTTTTCTGCACTTTTTTTATTCCACCTTCTGTCACATGGTTTACATTTTCATTCCTGTAAATTTTCAGTGCTGCATTGGTAATGTTCACGTGGGGAGGAGGAAGCTGCCTTCTCGCTTCCCCTCGTGCTTTTAAATTAGAACAGCAACAGTAGGTGCATGCCACACAGAGATGCTCAGTACAGGTCCTGGAGGTCACCAAGTACAGAGGTGTCCACCAGCCAAAGTCCGCAGCCTTCATGTCTGACTGCCAAGAAAAGTACACCAAATTTTTTTCCTTCTTAAAAAAAACAAACTAAAAAAAAAAAAAACCTAAAGGACCGTCAAGACAGGGGGTGATTTTATTAAAAAAAAAAAAAAACATGCACTCTAAAATGAACTACAGTACAGATGAATACAAAAAAAATGGCACAATGAAAAATGCCCCAGACAGCCAAGAGGCACATATGGACCAGTCCCACACCGGCATGGCACAAGCTCTCGCACTGCAGACGGGATGTGCTGAATTATCAGAGGGCACATTCCAGAGTTGAGGTCACACGCCATCGTCACAGTCAGGCACAGCGAGCACAGAGAAATTAAGTATTTTCAGCAAGGGGGGGCACTCCCCACCGTTTTAAGCAAATACAAAAGGTTTGGTCCACTTCGCTGTCTTTGAGGACGACCCTCACTGCCCGCTTTGCTAAACTCTTGACGCAGAATAATTTATGGAAATCCACATGCAGGATGCACATGAAGTAGCCTAAGCCATCAGGAGGAACACTCCAAATGACTCAGCAGGCCTGCCCTCCTGAATGCAGGCCGGGGGCGGGACTCTCCCCTGAGTACATCTACCCACGTGCAAGCAGGTGGACCAAAGCCAATATGGTACCAAAATGGGTCACCCAGGGCGAAAAGGACGTTAAAACCCATCTAAAAGGCGGGAATCTGCAGCCAGAATAACCAGCCTAGGCTGTGGGACGGGGCGTCAAACAGCTTCCAGCAGCTCTTTACATACGGATGGTTATGTTCTGTTCTTTTGTGGGGCGCTAGCGGGTTTAGCTCCCCTGCTGGCAGCCACGCATAAGCGCAGGCACACAGTCCCGCCTCCTCTGTGAGCCATTTCCACAGCACACTCGGCAGGAATTCATGGCGGGAGAAAGCGAGCGAGAGTACGGCTTCTCCGCTACCGTAACTGCGGGCTCCTGCGCCGCGTAACCCCCCCCCCCCCGCCCGTCCCCTCTTGCATGCTAAAATGCGCCGGCACATTCTCAGCTTCACCTGGGCATTTCTCCTGCACCCAGTGTGCTGGACCCCTTCGGGCTCACAAAACCTCAAGTTGTACGGCCACCGTGAGGCGCTAGCAATGCTGGGCCAAACACCAGTGAGGCTTAACAACCCTGACCCTAACCCCCAGCCCACGAGGGGAGAGAGGGCAAGAAAGGTGGTGGAGGAAGATGGGGGAGGGGACAAAACACAGACACACACACACACACACACACACACACACACACACACGATGCCCAAGAGCCATTCCCAGCTACGCTCCTTAAATCATGATTTCAATATGAAACAGTGTTACCCTGAAGTCAGATTCTAACATTTAATTGGCTCTAGGCTTCTCCACTTGTCCTTCTTCCTGATATCAAACCAGACGCCATAAAAGAGAAAATCTTGGCAATGGATCCTTCTGACGTCGCTTCTTGCCGTTTTACTTCAAAATAACGTGGTATCCCTCTCCAGTCTCATCTGCAAGCAAGAGGTGAATTGCCGATCAGGCAGGTACGCAGGACCAGGACACCAGCACGACCTCGTCAGGTCAGGCTCGGCCTCCATTACTCACGCAGGACAGTTACGGCTCAATTTCCACGTTTCAGTTACGCAAACAAGCAATTACATCATGTTCTGACTCGCTGCCATGAACAGGGCTGTCATAAGGATGCTCGTTTTAAAGGGGAAATGTTAAGAACAGACAGGAACTATTAAGATTAATGCGAGACATGGTGACTGTACCTTTCATTGTGCTAATCACAAAGCAAGTCTCATCTGGAAGATTGTAAACCATCTGTGAAAAGCAGCAAGGAGTCAATGTCAGAATCAGTCAGAAGAGTATTATGTGCATTTTAAAAAGAGGGAAAAATGTCAGGAATGATTGCGGGAGGAGACTGCGCGGCCAGGCGGGGGCGCTGTGGGCGCACTGACCTGGTCACTGAGCAGGATGTGTATGCCTGTGGGCCCCTGGCGGAACACCTGCTTGACCTGGGTGAGCGAGAGGCCGAAGACGGCGGCGATCTTGCGGGTCAGCTCGCAGGCCGTCATCTCCTCCAGGTACAGGGCGTGATACACTGCCAGTGTGCCAAAGCGCTCGTCAGCAGTGCTGCCAGTGAGCCTCAGACCTACTGCGCGGGCCCCACACTTACCGTATATGGCACAGCCAGAGTGCTTCCTCTGGTGGCCCTCAGCAGCGCCCTCTGGTGGCGGAGTGTCAGCCTGCTGGACCTCCTGGCTCACGTACACAGTCAGGCGGGGTCTCACTGACCTGGGGGCACATGGTGGGTATTTCACATCCGTGTGTCACACAAACTGGATTCATTCTAATGCGAAAGGCTTGGAGCTGCATGCAGGAGCACATGGACGAACTGAGCTCATTAAGAAAGTCACAGATAAATGCCTCATTCCCACCCCCACCGCCACCCACCCCTGCCCAAACGCTGCCATATTTACCTGGATTTAAGTGCATTAAACAGTCGGATACCATCTGCTGCTCCGCATATCTGGACTAGGTCCTCACGGGTCAGCTTCAGTAAATCAGAACCTGTTTTGGGAAAAGCGGCACGGGGGAAGACCAATCAGCAACCAGGATGGACGACGGCACTCGTGTCACATGACCTGACACCAGGAGGCTGACTGTGTTGACGATGTGATGTACTGGTGAAGCAGACATGAAAAAAGATAGCGGGAGGTCACTATGGAGGCTGACATTACCTGAGAAATTCGAGAAGACTCTGGTGTAGGTAGCAAATCGATTCTTTTGCAGCCACTGCTGCACATCCTGCATGGAGGCCAAGGGACTGAGCTGCTGTGGAGGAGCCAAGCATGGAGATGTATGCGTGTGCGCACACACACACACACGGACACGGATAAACGCACACACACACACACACACACACACGGATAAACGCACACGCACACACACACACGGACACGGACAAATGCACAAACACGCACACACGGACATACGCACAAACACGCACACGCACACATGGACATACGCACAAACACACACACACGGACAAACGCACACATACAAACACACATGGACATACGCACAAACACGCATGCACGCGCACGCGCACACACACACACACACACACGTCAAAGAGGTAAGCACACTGACTGGAGGAAAGTGTAAACAGTGGCCGAACACACTTCAAATTCAACTTGTACGCTTAAATATTTTTCATAAAAGAATACACCATATAAAGTATTAAATAATTAAATATTTTTCATATAATGAATATATTAGAGATGCACCGATCGATTGACCAGGGATCAGAATTGGCCGATTTTCAGCATGCTCACCTCGGACCAGCCGTTCAGTCTCATGTATCTGATACCGAACCAGACCGTTTTGCGCTTGCACCACACATCATATGCACAGTGGTGCAGGCAAGAGCCTCCCAGCCGTGAGCACACTTACAGCCGTGAGCACACTTACAGCTACATGCTAACATGTCGTTCGTGAGGAAGTTCCTCACTGTGAGGGAAGCGTGGACCAGCGTGAGGTTTTTCCCCAGTAGCTGCAGTGCCAATCCTGCCACCAAGCCCCAAATTATTCCCTGTAAATTGGAGGACCTCCTTACAGGGCTGGATGCAGATTAACATCATACCCAGGATGAAGCAATTGCAGGTTAAGGGCCTTGCTCAAGGGCCCAACGGAGTAGAATCACTCTGGGCATTCACGGGATATGAACCAACAACCTTCAGTTGCTGGCACAGATCACTAGCCCCAGAGCCACCACTCCGCCTTTTTCTTATGACAGAGTAACAGAGAAACTTTAATTCCCTGTGCTATATGGTCAGTACAGTATGAAAAAGCCTGATCTTAATCTAGCTCACTAGCGATGTAAGAATTGTTTGTACATAAAATGCGATGTAGGTATTAATATTTACCGTGCACCTATTATTATTTGGAAGAGTATAGTACACTTCAGTTATTTGGAGGTTTGTGACCCATGGATTTTTTAATATATATATATATATATATATTTTTTTTTTTTTAAAAAGAGTACAAAAAAAAGAGAAAAAGTTAAAAGTTGTGCTATCTGGTGAATTTTAAACATACTGGAAAATGATAAGTAACTGACATTTGTTTTGTTATTTTAATCTGTTGCAGCTGCTCTTGTTTGGTAACGTCAGACATGTCAGATAAAGCTGGATGTACAGCAGCTCATTTTCAGTTAAATGTTATTTGTACCTCTTTCCAGTCACAGGGGCACTTTATTAAGAGACTTAAGTGAGAGAAGATCCTGTAACTTAGTGCACTTCGGGGGACAATTTCTTTTATCATGAAAATAATCTGATTTTTGTTTGTATATGCTGTCAATTATAATTAATAGAAAGAAACGGCAAAAATCATCCAAGAAAATTGCAATCAGTGCATCTCTAGAACATCTTACTCTTTTTGCCAATTCATTCTTTCAAAAACGTGCTAGAATTCTCCATTGAAATGCAACGATTTTTCGATGGTTCAATCAAAAATATCAGGTCAATTTCACCCTCAACTTCCCTTATAGAACTCTATAAAAAAACCACAGTTAACTAGGTGCCAAGTTTCACTTTTCAGTAGCAAAATCCAACAATCAACAGCAGAAACACATTGCGGAAATGAAACTGTGGTCCCCACCCATACAGAAGGCACTCGTGTTCCCCCACCCTGACCCAGCTAGACACCAGTACAGACAGAACCAAGGCAGGAAGTCAGATTTCTGCTCCGAGGGGGCGGCAGAGGGAGGTGGAACTCACCTCCAGAGCAGGATGGCTGACTGCATCTCCCTGATGATTTGGTGATGAGGAATCACTAGGGAAGGCGGGGATATCAGTTACATCAGTGATCTAATGTAAGAATTCTCCTTCCCTCGCTCGCTGGCTGGCTGGCTGGCAGGAGCCGGGTTACCTGTCTGCGACAGGGGCAGCGTAGGAGGTGTGCGAGGTGGAGGTGAAGGAGGGTGTGGCCGCCGCCGCCGCCGGTGCTGCTGGGGCGCTGCTGACGTAGGCGCTGTCGGGCCAAGGCGAGCACTGTGGGACCAGGGAGAGAGAGCCCTGTTAGCAGCCCTGCGGGCCATGAAGAAGAGACGCTCAAGCCAGGGAGAAGCACTCTGGATGTCAGTGTGCTGTGTGTGTGCTCTCAGAGCGTTCCCTGTGCGCGGCCTGCGCTCCCTGTGCATTCTGTGTGCTCCATGTGCTCTGTGTGTTCTCTCTGTGCTTTATGTGCACAGTGTGCTCTCTATTCGCTATATGTGCGCCCTGTGATATCTGTGCATTCTCTGTGCGTGCTCTGTACCTGTGCACCATGTGCTCCTTGTTCATTCTGTGTACTCTGTGTGCGCTCTGCATGTGCCGTATGCATTCTCTGTACATGCTCTGTATTTGCTATCTCTGCATTCTCTGCGTACACCATGCGCTCTGTGCCCTCTCTGTGGGCACTCTGTGTGTCGGCTGCACTCTGTGCTCTGTGTGTTGTATGCCACACGCTCTCTGTGCGCTTCGTCCTGTGACATGTGCTCTCTGAGTGTGCCGTGTGCTCTCTGTACGCACCATGCTGTGACATGTGCTCTCCGTGTGTGCCGTATACTCTCTGTGTGCACCATGATGTGCCATGTGCTCTCTCTATGTGTTATGTGCTCTCAGTTCTGTGTGCCATGTGGTCTGTGTGCTATCTGCGCTCGCTGTATGTGCTGTGCGCTCGCTGTATGTGCTGTGCGCTCGCTGTATGTGCTGTGCGCTCGCTGTATGTGCTGTGCGCTCGCTGTGCACTGTGTGTGCTGTTGCTACCTCCCCAACGCTGTTCTCATGGGTATGTGCAGTCACACCTGGACACAGTCTATCAAACACAGTATCAGTTGACTTCCTACACAAGTCACTTCAGATAATGAACATAATGCAGGCTTAATACACACTAGGGCCCCACCGGCCATAAAAACACACCCTCCTGCTAGGGCTTTGCTCCCCACCGGCACTTTCACCAGCTAAATAACACCAGAAAGCGCCAGCCAGCGTCACACGCCATCCTGGGCTTTGAGTGACTGGGTGGGTGCTGGCTCCAGTCCCAAGGGGGCGGAAATGCAAGACTGAGTGATCAGGAGCATAAATTCTGCTACACAGTATAATGCTTTGGATTAAAAAAAAAAAAACAGCCGACATTATGATCCAACAGGCCTGGATCAGTGTTTGGATGGATGTATATTTTAAATAAAATCTGCAAGACAAATTAGCAATGATTAATATCTATTATTAACTGGTCTTTAAAAAGCACAATTATTTCAATAAAGGATGAGTCTGCTTTCTCCCAATAGAAATGGAAAAAAAGCAGATTCACAGAAGAGGAAGAGGGGGGAGAGTGTGCGAGAGCAGAGAGACAGACAGCAGAGACCACGAGGTTCATGCCAGCATTCTGAGAGTGTTAGATTTAGGAGTGGGGGGGAGCCCCTTCCAAAGAGGGTGGGGGGATGCGCCCGGGGGCCCAGTGCCCAAGGATCCAACACGCTCGAGTGTTGAGGGCAGGAGGAACAGAATGAGACCCGGAGCCCAGCTGGCCATGGGGACTGGAGGCCCTATATCTAACACCGTGAGCTTCACACTGGCTTATGAGTGCCACAAGTGAAATGTAAGCAGAAGTCCTTACACTGCCCCGCTTGGCCAGAGAATCGCCGCAGTCTGCGGGCAGTGTCCGCTTGCTGGACTTTTTCAGCTCATGTTCAACTGCATCTTCTATTATAGGCTCAAGTCTCATCTAGGCAAACACCAGAGACCGAAATCAATGGCTTAAAGACACGGTGATCACATATTTATGCAGACGCAGCTCCACCATTGGACAGTTAACAGACCCCCTCCCCCAACCCAGAGCACATCAACAGCCACCGGAGCCTTCCTCTGAGTCCTGCTCTACTGGCAGTGCATGCACACCCAGACCACAGGGGGGAGCTCTACCCCCACACCAATGATCTTAAGCTTTAATGTTGCTGAAGCCTTAGCTGATAAAGAAGGTTGGACCAGACTCGTAGGAATTGGAGGGATGTTAAATTACTTGGGCCCGAACACAGAAAGTGAGAGTGTGTTTCCTTCGGGGAAGAACATGCCATGTGGCCCCTTTGAAAGTGCAGTGGAGCTTCTGGGAGCTCGGCACTGGAGGCAGCAGGACCGCTGTCGGCCCAAACTTGCACCAGGGCATGGGAGCGATCCACGTAGGGACATCTACCCCAGAGGATTAAGCTGTTCTACACCCCAGCACCTGGCTAGCGTCTTCCTCCCGCCTGCTGACGTGTGAGGGTCAGGCCACAGCTGGTGGCGGCCCCCCCGCGCCCCCCTGCCCGCCCCTCCGCCCGGCCCCTGGCGCACACATGCCTCAGACAGGATGGTGGTCTCGTATGAGGGCTGGTACTTCTCCCGGTCGGTCTTCTGCTTCCGATCTGCTCCCTTTGGCTGAGAAGAGGAGATTCCCCAGGACGTGTGGGAGTCAGGAGAGACAGCTGGGGGCGGAGCCTGGCTGGGGGCGGAGCCTGGCTGGGGGCGGAGCCCAAGCGAGTGTGCTTCCCAGCCTGGTCACATTCCTGCCCCATCCCAGTTCCCAGTCAAGAACACAGAATACCTGCTACAGGTGAGCTGGGAGCTGGGAGCTGGGAGGGAGCAAAAATGCAAACTGCCTGGGGATCTGGGGGCCCCTGAGGACCCGGATGGGAGTCACTGTGTTAAAGAGACTCTGAAGCAAAGCGTGCATCACAGGGACACACCTGAGCGAGAAAGGGAGGGAAAGAAAAAGACAGAGAGAGAGAGAGAGGGGACAGAAAGGGAGAGAAAGAGATGGGGAGAGAGAAGGAAAGAGACAGAAGAAGAGTGAGGGAGAGAAAAAGAGGGAGAGAAAGAAAGGGGGGTGAGCGAGCCGTAGACAGAGGGAGACAGGGAGGGAGGGAGTGAAAGAGAGAGGGGGAGAGAGAGAGATAGGGAGAGAGGGAGAAAGAGAAGGAAAGAGAAAAAAATGGAGAGGAAAGGAAGAGAGAAGGAAAGAAAGAGGAAGAGAGAGAGAGAGAGAGAGAGAGAGAGAGGGCTTCACCTTGAAGACCTTGATCTGGCAGCTGGCCGAGTGCAGGTGCTCGCTGTACTCCCCGCTCTCGCCCGGCCGGAAGGTGTCGATCTGGATCCGGAACGGCACCCCCTTCTCGCCACCATGCTTGCGGGGGGTAAACTCTGTGCTGATGCAGTGCACCTGCAGCACAGGAAGACGTTTCTGTAGTCAGGTGCTGAATCAGTGAGACGCTTCGCTGACAGGGGTCAGAACAGCGGCCATTGCTGCTGAAGTGACTGTGGCAGCTGGGGGGGGGGGGGATGATACTGAGACCGGGTCTCAGTATCAGGAGCGGAGTTAGCAGAGACAGCCTGACCGACCCCAGATATTAAATACGTTGGCACAGGCGAGGGCACGAGCAGAGTTAGCAGGGACAGCCTGACCGACCGCGGTCCAGCAGGTCCCAAACGCTGCAGCGGAAGAACACAGCCATGAGTGATGTGGCAGGATATCGCTCAGCAAGGCAGCACACGAGCCGGCTGGAGCCCAACAGCGGCAGCTAGTGCTATCAGATCACACAGACGCTGGGGGGGGGGGGGGGGGCGCACCTGGACAAAGACGGAAGTGCGTTTGGAGAGGTCCCACAGGAACTCTGCGGCGTTGAGCTGCGAAGGGTTGGTCTTGGGATCAATGATGCCCACAGACATGGGAATATCTGCAGAGGATGGGAGGAGCCAGCGTCACATTACTGAGACACTAAGAGCCGAGAACACACTCACTGCTACGCCGCAGCAGCCCCGCGCACGTCAGGCGGGGAAACGATCTCGTACGGAGAGCCAACACCTCAGAGCCTCTGGGCAGGAGCGAGCAAGTACGGCACAGCAAGCTGGTTATTTGCTGGAATAAACATATTTATAGTTTTAGCCGATATGACCGATGAAAAAGAAGCTTACCATTTACAAATTATACACTAATTTATACATCTAGACTTACAAATAAATAATTTAGAAACTGTCACCACACCAGAAATACACTATAAAACAAGTTTTACAAATTTATTCTGAGGGGAAAAAAAAAATCTATTAGCACTGTTCACAGTTTGTCACTTTGAGATTAAAGTTCATCGTGACTAAAGAACTGCTTGTTCTTTTTCTATATTTTTATTTAAATAATTTTTTTTATAATACAATTTGTATTTGTAATATAAATTACCCATCACTTATTATAACTCAAGAAAATAATTACATGTTGAATTATCTCCAAATACAAAAGATATATTGAGAAGGGGCCAAAAAGCCTTGCTGAGCACACGACCATATCAGGCCACAGCTGACATATTGGGGTGGAGCCGTGGTGCATGCTGGGACAGCGCGAGTCGGCCTCACCGATGTCCAGGAGCCTGTCTCCTGGGCGGTTCCACTTCCAGCCCTCCAGCTGCTGGTGCTCAGTGTACTGCAGACGCCGGTCGTGAAACACCACTCGCACGATGCTCTGTGGGCGGACGGCAGCCATGAGTGTGGCCTCACACGGACTCCCGGCCGGCACCCCCACGCAGAGTCGTCCGTTAGAGCGGCGTCACAAAATGCCGCTTCGACAATCGCAGTAAAAGGAGTGCGCTTAAACATGACACATCCGTGCCGCTCAGCGAGGGTTACGCAATCCACTTACTCACGCCCAACTTCTGACCTGCTTGTAAATCATTGTAGCAGAAATTTAATCTGTGATCAGCAGAGGCGGCCTGAATCGCCGGGTGTGAGATTAGCTTTAAGACGCGTCCTGCTGCTTTAAGGGGCACAGACAGGGCTGGGGGCAGGCGGCCCCCCCCCACAGAGCGCGCTAACGTCTCCTCACCTTCACATTCTTGTTGTTCAGCTCGGGAAGCTCGCCCGCCTTCCGGTTGTCCAGCATCCTGATCTCGTATGACTGACCTGCAGCCATGGGGGGAGACAGTCAGGTCCGGTCCTGTCCGGTCCGGCGGCACAGAGCCACATCACAGGCCCGCCCCCACCCTGCCTGGCCCCGCCCAGCCACACACCTTGGTTCAGGTAGGTGAGTGTCTCATCATGCAGCTTGACAGCGGGAGAGGTGGACGTGCACAGCACGTACTGGAAGGGGGGGTTTGTGCTCTCCGCCTCGGAGGGGAGGCCGGCGTCCTCCTGCTTGAAGATGGGCAGCGCCAGGACATCACTGAGAGACGAACATAAACAGAGACAAATGTGAATGTCTCAAACGCCACGGCAAACCTGCGGAGGGAACATAGGAGAGGTCTGTCCTGATAACCAGCAGACAGCAAGGCTGTCCTGATACCCAGCACACGGACAGCACTGCCCCCACTATTGCAGGAGGGGTCACCCATGACCACTGGAAACTAGCACACTTCAGAGGGAGCAGTACATTTTTAACTGTTAATAATTTGATTAGTTATTCAATTCAAAATGTTAAGTCTGATACACACAGAAGCTAGGGCTGCACGACATCACACTGCGATAGTCACGATTATATGGCACACGAACAATAATCACCAGGGCTTCAGATGACGGGTGAAACATTTGTCCAGACGCCGGCTTTTTGGAACTATACAGACGTTTACTTACACCCACAATTTGGTAAGCAGGTTAGTAGTACAGATGCAAGGCGTATTATGACGCCCAAAAGTCAGTATAAATTCAGTGTACCCTTATCTTTATTACATTTGATTAGTGGGGCACTCCACATACTACTGTTTTGGTATACTGTGGCCTGGTATACTGTGGCTTGGTATACTGTGGCCTGGTATACTGTGGCTTGGTATACTGTGGCCTGG